CACACTACACAGATCACATCACAGATCACATTACACAGATTACACAGATCACACTACACAGATCACATCACAGATCACATTACACAGATTACATGACAGATCACATCACAGATCACTCTTCACAGATTACACAGATCACACTACACAGATCACATCACAGATCACATTACACAGATTACATCACAGATCACATCACAGATCACATCACAGATCACACTACACAGATTACACAGATCACACTACACAGATCACATCACAGACCACATCAAAGATTACACTATACAGATCACATCACAGATCACATTACACAGATTACATCAGAGATCACACTACACAGATTACATTACACAGATCACATCACAGATCACACTACACAGATCACATCACAGATCACATCACACAGATTACATCACAGATCACACTACACAGATTACACAGATCACACTACACAGATCACATCACAGATCACATTACACAGATCACACTACACAGATCACACTACACAGATCACACTACACAGATCACACTACACAGATTACACAGATCACACTACACAGATTACACTACACAGATTACACTACACAGATTACACAGATCACACTACACAGATCACACTACACAGATCACACTACAAAGATTACACTACACAGATTACACAGATCACATTACACAGATCACACTACACAGATTACACTACACAGATTACACAGATCACACTACACAGATTACACTACACAGATCACATCACAGATCACATTACACAGATCACACTACACAGATCACACTACACAGATCACACTACACAGATCACACTACACAGATTACACTACACAGATTACACAGATCACACTACACAGATTACACTACACAGATTACACTACACAGATTACACAGATCACACTACACAGATCACACTACACAGATCACACTACACAGATCACACTACACAGATTACACTACACAGATTACACAGATCACATTACACAGATCACACTACACAGATTACACTACACAGATTACACAGATCACACTACACAGATCACACTACACAGATTACACAGATCACATTACACAGATCACACTACACAGATTACACTACACAGATTACACAGATCACACTACACAGATCACACTACACAGATCACACTACACAGATTACACAGATCATACTACACAGATCACACTACACAGATCACACTACACAGATCACACTACACAGATCACACTACACAAATTACACAGATGACACTACACAGATCACACTACACAGATCACACTACACATATTACACAGATCACACTACACAGATCACACTACACAGATCACATCACAGATCACACTACACAGATCACATTTCACAGATCACATCACAGATCACACTACACAGATTACACAGATCACATTATACAGATCACATTACACAGATTACACAGATCACACTACACAGATTACATTACACAGATCACATTACACAGATTACACAGATCACACTACACAGATTACATTACACAGATCACATTACACAGATTAGACAGATAACACTACACAGATCATATCACAGATGACACTACACAGATTACACAGATCACACTACACAGATCACACTACACAGATCACACTACACAGATTAGACAGATCATACTACACAGATCACACTACACAGTTCACACTACACAGATCACACTACACAGATCACACTACACAAATTACACAGATTACACTACACAGATCACACTACACAGATCACACTACACATATTACACAGATCACACTACACAGATCACACTACACAGATCACATCACAGATCACACTACACAGATCACATTTCACAGATCACATCACAGATCACACTACACAGATTACACAGATCACATTATACAGATCACATTACACAGATTACACAGATCACACTACACAGATTACATTACACAGATCACATTAAACAGATTACACAGATCACACTACACAGATTACATTACACAGATCACATTACACAGATTAGACAGATCACACTACACAGATTACATAACAGATAACACTACACAGATCATATCACAGATGACACTACACAGATCATATGACAGATCACACAACACAGATCACATCACTGATCACACTACACAGATCACATCACAGATTACATCACAGATCACACTACACAGATCATATGACATATCACACAACACAGATCACATCACAGATCACACTACACAGATCACATCACAGATTACATCACAGATCACACTACACAGATTACACAGATCACACTACACAGATCACATCACAGATTACATCATAGATCACATCACAGATAACACTACACAGATCACACTACACAGACTACATCACAGATCACATCACAGATAACACTACACAGATAACACTACACCGATTACACAGATCACACTACACAGGTCACATCACAGATCACACTACATAGATTACATCACAGATCACATTACACAGATTACATCACAGATCACACTACACAGATCACATCACAGATCACACTACACAGATCACACTACACAGATCATATCACAGATGACACTACACAGATTACATCACAGATCACACTACACAGATCACATCACAGATCACACTACACAGATCACGTCACACAGACGATGAATAAACCATGTCACCAAATACCTGCAGAACAAAAGACAGTCGCCGCGTTATAACGAGGTACGAAACAAGCACTGCAGGTCACATGACCCCTGGAAACAACAATGAGAAGAAGCTGAGGCTCATAATGTGAGAGTTGATGATCAACCTGAGAACCTCTGCATTCATCACGCCCCCATTGTGGCTGATAACAATCAGCGCCACGCTTCCGTGGAGGCAAGACGTCATGGTCAAGACTTTCATTGTCTTCCGCGCGGAGAACTGACGGTCATGTTACTGTTGTTGTTGGTGGTACAGACCACCCCGACACCGCTCTACTGACTCGCTGGCAGGATTTGAAAGGTGGGGTAGGGTGGGGTGGGATGGGGGTGATGGGAACGTGTAGTAGCATAATAAATTTACTGCAATGGTTCATAATGTACCAACTCGCTGTTGTTTCCTGATAAAATAACATGAATTTCATGTCAGGTAAATATTAGATATCGGAGATATGATTATTGAAATCAGTTATTATAAATTTAACGATTTAAATAATTTTCTTACATGAAACGCATTAGACATTCAATCACGTAAGTTCACGAAAATTTATGTTCGTTTTGGTCCTAACCTCTGTATGTTTGAAAAAGTCAGGATATTTGTTTGATAATAAAGTGCATTTTTTTATCAGTAATTAATGTGCGAAACGTTGGTTCATCCCGTGTTTAATGAAGCCTCGACTGTTTGAATTCACCCACCCTCTTTACATCGAGTTATCCTGAACAAAATCAAGCAGGGAGGGGTAAGAAGTGTAAAAACAATTCACCAGCTAAAGGTTATCAAGCAGCACTACATAGTGCTTACAATATTACATGTATGGAATCAAGTCACAAAAACGCAACTGCTACAGAAAAGCATGCATTCCATGCAAAAGTTGACTTTTATGCAAGCCCCATGCATTTCACTACCCAAGAATGGGTATAAAAACATGTGCGTTAACGGGATTCCATATGCATTGTTTAGCATCGTGCTGACAACAACCACTCAGAAAAACAACAAAATTACGCAATTATTCAACATTACGAAATGCTACGCCTGTCCTAAAATGAGCGTCTGCGAGCCATTGGTATGCTTGAAGCAGGATCGAGTCAACGTGATGTTGCAAGACAATTTAACGTCCACAGAAACACCATTTGGTGTTTATGACAACGTTGGCAACAGACGAATGCAGTCGGAGAACATCCTCGGAGTGGCAGGCCACGCGTAACCAATAATCGACAAGACAGCTGGATTCGAACAACACACACCTACTAAATCGATTCCAGCCAGCAACAGTGACTGCAAGAAGCATCCCTGGCCTTCGACGAATATATCCACAAACCTTACGTCGTCGCCTCAGATGTGTAAGGATTGTCGCCAAGAGACCCGCCAGACGTCCCATTTTGACAGGAAACAATGGTGCAGACAGCGTCTACGCTGGACGGCCATGGGTGGGGACAAGTTCTATTCACTGACGAGTCTCGTTTTCAGATCAGCTTCAGCGATGGACGGATTCGAGTGTACCGACGTCGAGGTGAACGTTACGTCAATCATTGTGTCATTGAAGAAGATCGGTTCGGGGGCGGCAGCGTTATGGTATGGGGTGGGATTATAGCAAAACAGAGGACCCGTTTGATAGTGGTAGCGGGAGATCTCAATGGACAGCGGTACCGCGACGAGATCATCGGCCCTGTTGTTCTACCGTTTTTTTTGCGTCGTCATGGCCTAGACATTACCTTTCAACATGACTACGCCCGGCCACATATTGCTCGACTTGTTCAGGTTTCTCTTCAACAAAACAACGCGAATGTCATCCACTGGCCGGCTCGCTCCCCTGATCTCTCACCCATCGAGCACGTGTGGGGTGAGATGGATCGGCGCCTTCGACATCAACCATGTGTTCCACAGACACTCCAGGAACTTCGAAACATGCTCCAGCAGATATGGACAGATATCCCACAGGACTTTGTGCGACGCCTGGTCCATTCCATGAGACGAAGATGTGTTGCTTGCATCGCAACCAGAGGTGGACACACACGCTATTGATTTGTAAATTGACATTTTGGCATGTTCATGTTTTTTGTTATGAAATCACGCATTTTCTGAAGTCAGTATGGCAAATTAAACTATCTGAACACTTACAGGAGTCTTTTATCTGTTGCAAACCGAAATTATTTCAGATTTGGTAGAAAACATAACTTTGCATTAAATCTTATTCATTGTCACAGGAACTTGTGTTGTTCAGTATACAATGTGACCCACCTTCACTATAGTCTTGTCGACCGCCACGCAGAAGATACTGACTGGTACATACATCTACGGTCCTAGCACCAGCATCTTGTCATCTTTCCTCCAGGTGGCGCTATGGACCCCGCTCGTTCTCCTCAGCCTCACCCACCTGGTACCCAGCACGGGCGACCGGCACGACAGCTGCCGCCACACACCCCAGGCCCTCGAGATCATCGACCGACTACAGAGCACCATCCACCCACAGATGCCCTTCCCCCAGAGCTCGCGCATCTCCAGCCACCTGTTCTCCCCCGTGCCCGCCATGTGCCCCCAGCTTGCGCCCATGAGTGACGAGATCAACCTTCAGTCTCTGTGCCCCTGGGAGTACTATGAGAACCATGACGAGAACAGGTAACCATGGAGCTCGCTCAGACTCATTCAACGCTACCTCCCTCATCTAGATCTCACTTGTCCGTGTCACGCCAGCATTCTCTCTCTCTCCCTGTGTGTTAAGTATTTGGACCTGTAAATAAAGTGTTAAGTATCTGTGCATGTAAAATAGTGTGTTAAGGATTTGGGCCTGTAAATAAAGTGTTAAGTATATGTGCATGTAAAATAGTGTGTTAAGGATTTGGGCCTGTAAATAAAGTGTTAAGTATCTGTGCATGTAAAATCCTCGTTAAGGATTTGGGCCTGTAAAATAATGTTTTCAATATTTGTGCATGTAAAATAGTGTGTTGAGGATTTGGGCCTGTAAAATAATGTTTTCAATATTTGTGCATGTAAAATAGTGTGTTAAGGATTGGGGCCTGTAAAATAATGTTTTCAATATTTGTGCATGTAAAATAGTGTGTTGAGGATTCGGGCCTATAAAATAATGTTTTCAATATTTGTTCATGTAAAATAGTGTTTTAAGGATTGGGGCCTGTAAAATATGTTTTCAATATTTGTGCATGTAAAAGACTGTGTTGAGGACTTGGCCTGTAAAATAGTGCGTTAGGTATTTGGACGTGTAAATTAGTGTGTTCAGTATTTGGGCCTGCAGAAAAGTGTGTTCGGGTTGTGAAACCTGTAAAATAGTGTGTTCAGTATTTGGGCGCGTAAAATAGTGTGTTCAGTATTTGGGCGTGTAAAATAGTGTGTTCAGTATTTGGGCGTGTAAAATAGTGTGTTGTTTGTTTGTTTGTTGTTAAACGCCGCACTCGGAAATATTGCAGTTATAAGTTTGGTAATAATCCAGTCTGTTGAGTATTTGGACCTTTAAAATAGTGTGTTGAGTATTTGGACTAGTAAAATAGCGTGTTGAGTATTTGGACTAGTAAAAAGAGTGTGTTGAGTATTTGGACTAGTAAAATAGCGTGTTGAGTATTCGGACCTGTAGAATAGCGTGTTGAGTATTCGGACCTGTAAAATAGTGTGTTGAGTATTTGGACCTGTAAAATAGCGTGTTGAGTATGTGGACCTGTAAAATAGTGTGTTGAGTATTTGGACCTGTAAAATTTTGTGTGGGACCAGTAAAACAGTATGCTGAGTATTTGGAATTGCAAAATGGTATGTTCGGGTAGGAAAACCTGTAAAATAGTGCGCTAAGTATTTAGATTTGTAAAACAGTATGTTCAGTATTTGGACCTTTAAAATAGTGTGTTGAGTATTTGGACTAGTAAAATATCGTGTTGAGTATTTGGACTAGTAAAAAGAGTGTGTTGAGTATTTGGACTAGTAAAAAGAGTGTGTTGAGTATTCGGACCTGTAGAATAGCGTGTTGAGTATTCGGACCTGTAAAATAGCGTGTTGAGTATTTGGACTAGTAAAATAGCGTGTTGAGTATTCGGACCTGTAGAATAGCGTGTTGAGTATTCGGACCTGTAAAATAGTGTGTTGAGTATTTGGACCTGTAAAATAGTGTGTTGAGTATTTGGACCTGTAAAATCTTGTGTGGGACCAGTAAAACAGTATGCTGAGTATTTGGAATTGCAAAATGGTATGTTCGGGTAGGAAAACCTGTAAAATAGTGCGCTAAGTATTTAGATGTGTAACACAGTATGTTCAGTATTTGGACCTTTACTATAGCTTTGGTATTTGGTCCTGTAAATTAATGCAATGGTGATTGGATCACGTGACTTGTTTGCTGGGCATTAAGTCCTGTAAAGTTGTGTGCTGAGTTTTGCGACCTGTAAAATAGTGATTTCGGGATTAGGCCTCGTTAGTTAGTGATACGGCCTTTAAAATAGTATGCTGGGTAGTGGCTATATATGTATTTTAACGCAGTATCCCTTGATAAGAGTCAGTCAATTACGTTGTGATTACTTGACCTTGACATTGCTGTATTGCCCAGGTACCCTCACAACATCATCTACGCCAACTGCACATGCGCGTACTGTCTCGGAAACAACTACCTGTGTCGCCCGGTCTACCACAGTATCCCCGTTATAAAGCAGATATGTCGGAACGGAGTGTTTGACTTCCACTGGGACAACGAACACATCCCGGTTGGCTGCACGTGCTCGCATCCTGGCCCGAGGAGGAAGAAGTGGTATTTTCTGTGACGTTAATAAACAATGACATCTCTCGGCTTGTTGTCAGTATTGGGGAGAGAAGGTTTTGTTTGTTTGGTTTGTTTGTTGTTTAATGCCGCACTTGGGATGGATGACATGCATCGTCCAAGTCAGCGAGCCTGACCTTCCGATTCCGTTAGTCGCCTCTTACAACAAGCATTGTCGCCTTTTACGGCAATCATGGGTTGCTGAAGACCTATTCTACCAGGGCGGTACCTGGTACTAATGGCGGACATTGATCTGACACCTCTGCTCTGTTCTGAGTAACGCCAGGATGTCGTCCAACCACAGGGTTAAACAACCCAGCCCAGTCATCTAAGGCGCCACAATTCACCACAAAGGCGTCCGTTGGGCACGCCAGAAACCTATGATTGTGGGTTCGAATCCCGGTTCGCCCCGATTATGTTTCTAGGTTTGTCAATACCCGTGCTCTTGGGTTTCACCGAAGTGGTAAACGTCTGAAACCTGCATCACTTGGGACTTTCCTCCCACATTAAGCTGACACGCCGCGATATAACTTGAAAACTGTTAAAAGCGGCGTAAAACACAACTCAATCTCTCTCGTCATATATTGGTGTTACAAATTGCTGAGTCGACATGAAATATTACTTCCCTTTACCAATTTAACCTAAAACTCTTCACGTAAAACACGCCTAAAGTGGACAATATCACATACACCCGTGTTGGGAACAAGAAGGACAATATTACACACCACCTTGAAGGGAACAAGAAGGACAATATTACACACCACCTTGAAGGGAACACGACGCACAAAATTACACACCACCTTGAAGGGAACAAGAAGGACAATATTACACACCACCTTGAAGGGAACAAGAAGGACAATATTACACATCACCCTGAAGGGAACAAAAAGGACAATATTACACATTACCCTGAAGGAAACAAAAAGGACAACATTACACATCACCCTGTAGGGTTTACATGTAACAGCTTAACTTGCCAAAGACTGACTCGCTGTTGGGTGTGGAACGTTTTGTTCAGACAGTTGGTTGGTGCGGCCATCTTGATACATTTGGTTTACAACTCAGTCGCTCAGTGGGTTATCTCTTAAGCGCAAACTCTATTCTCCTTATTGCTACACATGTGCAACTGAATACAGCCATACTTGTGGCCTGATACATCCTTGAGAGAAGGTTTGAGTCTTTGCCAGAAAACACACTCTTTCGCGCCTGATTATTCTTAGTAGTTGTTGTCTTACTATGAAGATGTATCCCTATTAGCATAAAGATCCTCAAGCCGACATCCCCAAGAGTGGCTTCCTCTTCTATTTGCAGCTTGGCACTATAAAACCCTATCATATAAGAGTCATTCTCCTCACAGATTCCGTAAACACTCTGAAACTTATCTCAATATCTGAGTGGGAAACTACTTTGCGTGCTTTGGATAAGACTTCTCAGTAAGAAGACGCTCCACCTCACAGCGCCACAGATCATACACCATCCTTGTTACTGACTTGATCCAAGTCTGGCATCACACCATCTATCTTGGGTTCCATCTCTGGATCAAGCTCATGATCTCTTGGTGCGAATAACTGACTAACAACCATACCAGTAAACCAAACTATCAACAAACACCAAATACAGGGCGGCCTAAATAAAAGTGTAAATGTTACCTTCTGTAGATTGATGTGTATTCCCAGTTGGAAACTGAGCCATGGTTACGCTGTTAAAGTTCTTGGTGTAGAACGATCTACACTCCAGTGTGAATTCTCGTTGTGTATGTAGATGGGGCAACATATCATATCTCAGTCACTTAGAGTTAACACTCAGAACACATTGGTAGGGATAGCTCACCACACGCTGAACAGATGTCAAGTGAGTGAGTATGAGTTTACGCCGTTTTTAGCAATATTCCGCCAATATCAAAAATGGGCTTCACACATTGTGCCGTGTGGACAATCGAATCTGTGTCTTTGGCTTGACGAGCGAACGCTTTAACCACATGGCTACCCAACCGCCCCTTACCAGATGTAGAGGCCCGGTCAAGGATCCTCCTGCTAGTGTCCTTGAACAGTCAGTGAACTTGAATAGTCCTCACTGGAGGCCCCATTTTGTAACAGCTAAACTCGCCAACGACTGACTCGCTATTGGATGTGAGAGGTTTTATTCAGACGGTTTGCAGACGTAGCCGTGTGGCAGTATAACACGTGTTCGATTCCTTACTTGATCGTTGGTTTGATTCGTTTGAACCCATTTATGGAATAAAGTCAAATGGACAACTTCAGTCCTGACCAAACCCTATGACCTCAATGTGCTCTGCGTGCCCTTTCCCCTGTGATGCTTGTTCAGAGTGGCACATCGGCGGGAAATGTGCAAAACGTCACAAGGCTGAACTAAACTAGCCAATCAGAAGGGATAAAACAGTCACCCGATAACTAAGTTTAAGATCTAATAAAGAATGAGCTGAACCGGTTTCAGTGTGACCAAACCAGAATGAGTGCCACTAAGCAAGAACGAAAGGATATTGCAACTAGGAGTTGGAACATCAATCAACTGATAAAGGATAGAAAATAGACCTGAATGTCAACATAGTTGACATGGCAACCGAACTATAAAATAACCATAAAAGACTGACTCCAATACAACATGTTTTCATAGAGTCGTAAAACTTTTTATACTTTTTATTTTATTTCCACAACACAATGTAAAACTCCATTGCCTACTAACAACAATAAACTAGAATGACAAAGACTTTCATAAATGTTTTAGAAGCCACAATCATGCAGAAAGACTCTGGTACATCACATTCAAGCCAGAAGCTTTCATCCCTAACGTTGTGCGTTTCCGTTGCTTAATCACAAACTTCTAGAATGCCAAGTGAATAGGTAAGAAAGGGTCTCAATAAATTCTTTATTCAGGTCGTGCCATGAGAATGCTCATCGTTCTCAACGTCACAGAAGGTTTAAAACACCTCTTAGTCCCCTTCTCGCTGGAAATACGTTCCTCATAACATTCTGTATGCATCGTCGCTAACAATGTTGTCACAATGACAAGATACAAGATAGTTAAAAACGTCAAACTAAATATGATAGATCAAAATAATTAAATATATTGCATGACGTAAATTAGATTTTTTAAACAGTAAAGGGACGATTTAAGCTTGTGTCGGTGGTAGAGATCCTAGGTAGTAGAGTTACACGCTGGTAGAGTTTCTAGGTGGTAGAGTTACTCGATGGTAGAGATCCTAGGTAGTAGAGTTACACGCTGGTAGAGTTTCTAGGTGGTAGAGTTACTCGATGGTAGAGATTCTAGGTAGTAGAGTTACACGGTGGTAGAGTTTCTAGGTGGTAGAGTTACTCGATGGTAGAGATCCTAGGTAGTAGAGTTACACGCTGGTAGAGATCCTAGGTGATAGAGTTACTTGATGGTAGAGATTCTAGGTGGTAGAGTTACACGGTGGTAGAGTTTCTAGGTGGTAGAGTTACTCGATGGTAGAGATCCTAGGTAGTAGAGTAACACGGTGGTAGAGTTTCTTGGTGGTAGAGTTACTCGATGGTAGAGATCCTAGGTAGTAGAGTTACACGGTGGTAGAGTTTCTAGGTAGTAGAGTTACTCGATGGTAGAGTTTCTAGGTAGTAGAGTTACACGGTGGTAGAGTTTCTAGGTAGTAGAGTTACTCGATGGTAGAGTTTCTAGGTAGTAGAGTTACACGGTGGTAGAGTTTCTAGGTAGTAGAGTTACACGGTGGTAGAGTTTCTAGGTAGTAGAGTTACACGGTGGTAGAGTTTCTAGGTAGTAGAGTTACACGGTGGTAGAGTTTCTTGGTGGTAGAGTTGCTCGATGGTAGAGATCCTAGGTAGTGGAGTTACTTGATGGTAGAGATTCTAGGCAGTAGAGTTACACGATGGTAGAGTTTCTAGGTGGTAGAGTTGCTCGATGGTAGATATCCGTGATAAGCCGCCGTGTTTCCACTCACATCAGTGATAGATCTCCATTCAGATATATGCATCATCAATCGATACATAAATGATCCTCGCCATCTGGGCATGACGTTACGTGGTCGGCCATGTGGTAGAGCCAGACACCGTGATGTCCATGTTTGTCTGCTCTGACATTCTTGAAGTAATGGGGGCGGGCTTCCCTGACTCGGGCACCTAAATGGCTAATCCTCACATACGATTGGACGGCTACTTGGGGAATCTTGTCTTTGAAGACAACTTTATTGTTGGTGAATGCGTCGACAGGTGTCATTAAGCCGTGTCAGGGGTTGTGAATATCAGCGAATGTATACAAAGTCGTGATTGAGTGCTGTAGATACACTACATTGAGAGTGAGGAAGTGAGTGAGTGAGTATGGTTTTACCCCGCTTTTAGCAATATTCCAGCAAAATTACGGCGGGGGACACCAGAAATGAGCTTCACACATTGTGCCCATGTCGGGAATCAAACCCGGGTCTTCGGCGTGACGAGCGAACGCTTTAACCACTAGGCTACCCGACCGCCCCGAGAGTGAGGAAGAGAATCAATGGATGTCAGCATCTTTATTACGAGGAATGAATGCTATGTACATAGACATGTACCCGTAAGAACAAGAAAAGTAATAAGATAAAAAAGGTGGAAACTTATAATAACAAGGGACGCCAACAGATAATTGGCGTGATAGGTGATTAGCAATGGACACATGGGAGCCAACACTTAACTGTAAATGAATGCTGATAGTTAACTTAAATTATTACTGATTGGTATTAGGCAAGGGGCACACGGGAGCCCGGGGTAGTAATGAGTGTGTTTAAGAAATAACTCCATTGAAAAGAGAAGCATATGACAACAAACTAAAATATCACATACAGTACTCGTTCACCTTGATGGACAACACTGTGCCATGCTCAGGTTGAAAGTATGTCACCCATGTGACAGCCCTACACCTTATACCGATGCCCGGATGCTGAGTAAACTCCTCTGTGTGTGCTTACTCTCTCGGCTTGGGTAACCATAATGCAGCCGGAGGCGCTGCGTCGACACAACTCTT